TATGTTTTGGATCTACCCTAAAGTGTTAGAGTATCAACACCTGGAAAAAAATCTTCCCCTACCACGCGCAACAGAATAGGCCTCAAAACCAGATCACCCCATCCCACCACCCATCAGTGACACACGTGCCCCCACTGTACTGTGAGACTTATGACTTATTATCACGACTTTATTGTCCTGTCATCAATGCAGTGTATTAAAGTGTACTAGGCTTTTTACTCAATACACTTCAATCAGCTAATGCACCGTGTGTGAATCATCAACCTGCATTTGTAATGTCACGCCATGTACAACATATCGTCATACTCCCAGCATACTCTATATATAACAAAGTGTTGACTCGCCGTTACTACCACAAACACTTCATACACTTGTATTCCCAAATCTAGAGACTCGGAACAAAGGAAGTCCATCACGTCTCTTGTTGAGCAAATAATACTTTTAAACTTAAGTATATGTGCCAAATAAACGGAGATTTAGATACATATTCTTTTAACAGATACTTTACCTTCGAGTCCAATAACGGTCAATGAGTGAATAGCTGACATTATTAATATCACTGCAAAATTGATGGAAATATTGTGTTTTGGACCTTCGAGTTGATAAATTGCCGTCATTCTGAAATGTACACCACATCGGGTTTCGTCTGTTTCTCTTACACAGCTTATACGTGTGCAGTTTAAATATTTCTATCTGTTAGTAAACATAACTAAACAAGCCGATCATATTTTATTTTTATACTCCATTGCTTTACTGCTTCTAGGCACATGTCATCTCTCAATTAGGTTGTAAAACATGGTGAGGGGAAGACACTATGCTCTTAGTCATTTTGGCATTTTTTAGTAAAATTTTATTTTTTTAACTGAACTTTAACAAAATTCTTTGAGTAGTATGACTGACACATGTCTTTTTTTGGGCAATTCTTTCAGATATCAATCAAGGTAATTTAGGTCTCCACTGTGATTGGTGGTCGATTTTCACCCACCTTTATGCGATAGCAATACTTGGTATGAAAACCATGCCTGTATTTTTCGAGTCCAATGTCAAGGTTTTTCAATGTAAACACATGAACAAAATACTTCAGTTTATCACAAATGGGAAAGATTTATAGCAAAACTTTCAATGCAAATCGATACTCGCGACTGTGCTGACTGGAATTCGAATTGCTTTACCAATTTTCTCAACAGTTGTGAGGTTATTTTTAGCGCTCACTAAAGGAATGTACCTCTTGTCATACGCAGTGCCTTCCCCATTTTCGCACGACAGAAAAAGCCACGCACCGGTTTGATTGTAATTCATACTCCAATAACTCAAACTGTTGAGTTCATGAATGTATTGTTTTGCCATCTGCAAATTAATTATCGGATTCTTGTTGAAATACATGTACGTCGATTTCAACGCATGTATACCTGTACATAACATAGAAAACTACCAAAAACGAACTTGTAGTTTGGTATGAAATACGAATCGCTTCGCCAAACATGAAAGGTTAAAGTTACAATCATTCATGTAATACACAAGATATTTATAAATATTCATATTTTACAGGTGTGAACTTCGTACTAAGGAAGTTAGCGGCAGCCGCTAGTTCAACTATGACCATCACCCGCGAAGACAACAAGATTCGAATCGTCACCAAAGGTCCCAAGGACACTGACGTCAGCTTCGAACTCAACAAAGAGGTGGTGTCACATGACCCTAACGATAACGAAATGAAGGTATGTCGTCAGCCAACCGCCTCCGCCAATGGTAATGGTCATACTATCAGAGACGTGTTGGAGCACAGGGGTTAGACGTCCTGCAGGAGCGGAAATTAATATTTGAACAAAAAACAAAGCATACAAATTGATTATGATACCAAACATTATAAAACATGCCCCATCCCCGGGGACCCCTGCCCACAAAACATGATTGAGACAGAAAAAAAGTCCTTTCTGAGTGTTGAACCCCTTTGGTCACTTCTTCTGAATGCAATTCGATGTTGTGTTGTTCTTTGTATTATTACTTGCATATCATCACTGGTATACATGTATTATGAATTATAAAAAAATGTGATAAATTTAAATTAAATCTTACATAAATGTTACATTTAAGACACTTTGTTTAACGTAAACGTGTACATAACGTTGTATTTCGTGTTTTCATTGCTAGATATAAGTAAAATCGATTTTTGCTTTAACTCCAGGCTACCGTTACCTGGGACGCAGGCAAACTCACCACAGATTCCAGTCCCACGGAGGGGTCAAAGGGCAAGGCAACATTAGTTGAACGAATGATGGTAGACGATCAGCTGATAATGGTGAGTAAATCGTCAAACAAAGGACAGCTGTAGATGTAATATAGATATTGGCTAGACAACAGAAGATAGAATAATGATATCTATCCAGAAGGTCAAATGTCAGGGTTGTATTTTAAATGGTATCCATAATCTAAAGTAGGTTAGATTGTGATGTATATATCACAATGGAGCCAAGATATCCTACACGCGCATTGTCTTGTGTGCAGCGGTCAATGTGAGGACACTGAAGTACCTGATTGTCACGTGACCAGTATAGCCCAGACGGCCTCCCATACACTGCCTTAGCACCACTGGTTCCGCTCTAGAGGCAAGACTCCGGCTAGTTGCTTCTGGTTGTAATGATTGATTTTTCAGGCCAGGTTATTAACAGAGAGAAGATGCGGGCTTTGTTGGTGGTAGTGTCGACAGACGGTTATAGTATATTGCTGCCATACCAGTGTGGTCCTCACATAGCCGTTGGGTTCTTACACAGAATCCAATATCCTTCTTATAATGATAATGTATGGCTTAAATTTCCTTAACGTGCCTCAGATCAGTTCATCACACGTGCTCACTTTATAAGGATGTCTGACATATACTGCACATAATTGCAGTCAGTTTATGATGTAGTAATTATGCTCTACAGTTTCAGTGTAATTTTGATGTCAATACATTGTTTTCACATAATATGGTTTCCCTGAGTGATATATCAACTTTGACCTTTATTATCTTTTATCACAAACACTTCTGCCGTTCACCACGTCATATTTACACAGATATGACTTATAATGAACAAGTCTAGTTTATCATGGCCCCAACACCAAACTTGCTTACGTTATGATATTTGTCAAACTTGTTTACGTTATGATTTGTGTCTGACCTAACACCAAACTTGTTTACGTTATGATATTTGTCTGACCCAACATCAAACTTGTTTACGTTATGATATTTGTCTGACCTAACACCAAATTTGTTAACGTTATGATATTTGTCTGACCCAACACCAAACTTGTTTACGTTATAATATTTGTCTGACCCAACACCAAACTTGTTTACGTTATGATATTTGTCTGACCCAACAAACATGGGGGGGGGGGGCTAGTTATGTAATAACAATAGATGTTAAAAATCATTGTGTTAGTCTCGGTGAAAACCTTACTTACGTCATAGCAATAGATGTTGGGTCAAGTGTTTTAAAATGTTGTGAGGATCATCCTAAACGAATCGAGAAGCAAATAGGAAATACCAGTCATTCTTTTAAGGACAGAATACCACACAACGTTAAGGAATTGCCTGACTGACAATATTTCCCCCGCGCTATATACAATAGCGTCTTCACCACAAGTACAGATATAGCATACAACTCTGACAGATATCTCACAGTTACCCTATGTCAACTGCACTCGCCACAACTCGGCAAATTCCGTTCGATGTCAACCGGAAATGATTGACTACGTTCTCCCAGCATACATTGCGGTTCCGTCCAATCAAGGGATTGACGATGATCTTGTTTCTGATTTCAGATCGTGAAAGTGAACCAGGTTGAAATGAGGAGGATATTCAAGAAGAAGAGTTAAAGATGGCAACGCTTATGATGACTTGATCACTTTAGAAATTGGAACTATTTTTCTACAACTAGCATGCACATGTGATCGGAGACTGGTCCCACTAACCCGACCCCCAACACCGAAATGTCTTTTGAGGGTTTGAGGGTGGCGGAGTTTATCACGGAGGGAACAAAGACCAATTTGTTAAATCAATATCGTTGTTTTTGCTGATTTTATTTACACAGATTAAAGTTGTGTTTGTTTTAACAAAAAAATGTTCATGTTCCTCAATCAAGACACCTAGGTTACATAGAAATACAAGGTTATTTGTCGCTTCACATAAACCATAAAGTACTTATTCGTTATTTAAAGTGTTACTTCAAACTCGTTTGTTTATTTCGTTTTGACAATGAATGGCCTTTCATAAGTACCGTTCAAGACGAAAGTCCTTTGTGAAATACAGCAGATATACTCTACTTTCCTGAATGCAACTCAGGATATTCTCATAAACTCATAGACTTTACAAGTGCAGATCCATCACATATAACCTACATAGGTAGTTATGTTGTTTGGTACCTTATCAACGCATTGCAAGCCAATAATTCTTTTGATATCACTGGCCTTTTGCAAAGGGGAGACGAATCTTTGAAATTCAACACGTCAACAAGAAATTGACTACAAACCTTTATGCCCGCCTCAGTAAGAAAATGTGCAAAAGCTGCAAGTTTGCTCTATTTTTTTTAAAACCTTAAACGCCTCTATTTCTCATCTAATCTCATGTACTACTTCTCATTTTGGTGAATAATTGTTGAGTCTGACGTATGTTTTGAATACTTATGTTCAAAATAGTTTCCATACAGTGGATTAGATGACAAACTATTGCAGAAATCCATAGTCCCCGAACTCAGATCGTACATTGAAGTAACAAGAGCAATAACTCTGTATGTAATTTCAGTGCCCCGGAAAAAACGAAAATGGTGAATAAATGAAGTGTGTATAAAGTGAGGTACCAGACGTGTATAAAGTGAGGTACCAGACGTGTATAAAGTGAGGTACCAGACGCAAAAAGCAACACTCCGCGATCTAAAAGGGATCTTCTCGCATAAAAAAAACATCTTATCGCAGGGGTGACGCAGTATATGAAATGGTGACACACGATGAACAAAGCTCATAACTCCGTATACAATGGGATACGAAACCATATTTTATCACGGGGGCCGTCCTTAAATGACCATAGCTGTTAATAGGACGTTAAACAGTACTAAACCAAACCAAACCAATTATCACGAGACATGCCGCCATCTCAATAAAGCGTTCGCGCATACACAATTTGACAATTGAAGGTAACATATATGCCACAGAAACAAAAGTGCCACACGATGAACAAAGGGCCATAACTCTATATATCCAACATATTTGCAGCACTGTCATCTCAGAATGTACTTTTATACAAAGTTTGGCAACTGTAAGTGAGACAGTATATGAAATAAATGCATCTCCAAGACAAAAAAAAATGAATTACAAGGAATTGAAAACCTCAACTATAGTTCGATTCCATAGAACGGTTTCGATTCAGACCACTGCCGTGTAGCTGTGTACGACAGCGGTTGTGAAGTGTCGTTTACTGATTACGCTTCGGCTGATTTCAGTGTATTGGAAAGTCAAAATTAGCTGTTTCCATTCATTTTACGGTTATTTCTTCTATAAAACATTAATTTACACACTGTTTCCAGCATTGCAAATTATCCAGCTCCCCCAAGTTTTCTGAACAAATGTTTTAACTTTATGCAACGGTTTTGTTTCACATCGCTAAAAAAACGTTGCTATATGAACAACAAAGTTAAGTTAATAGTCGTTATATACTCTTCTTTTATCAGGATATTTCATAGACAAAACAATAATTAGGAAATAAAAACAACACCTTTCACATGTGCCGCTCTGTTGACCTAATGACACCAGTGTAAACGCAAACGGCACACAACAACCGTTGCCGTACACAGCACTACACGAGTGATGACACCGATTTTCGTAATAAAATATTTATTCACCTTGCAGTAGGGAATCACTATTATTTTTGTCTCCTTGATAAATCATTAATGGTAAACCTAGAAGAAACAAAGAATCGTGTTAGTGCATATTTTAAAGCACATTATAGATAATAGTTTACGAATAACGATTCTGAACATAAAACGTAGAGCCTATGAGCAGCATTTTCTGACAAGGTTATTAAATTAAAACACAATCACACCGACCGATGTATAAATACACATTCACAGCACCTCCCTATAACTTTGTGGCGGGAAAATACATACTCTACAACCTAAACACGTCACGAATCTAAATATAAAAGAATACACGTTTTGTTTTGGGCTCTGTCCGAGCTTCTGTCGCCCCGTGTATGTTTAAATGGTTTACGCTCACTTACGTATACGCTCACTGCAGAGACCGAAAGTGAGCGTAACCCCTGGAGTATCGAGGATGTCCTCAATACAGAGCAGTTAAATTGTCACACATTATCTATATAAGTAAAACTCTAAACTCGCCAATCAGATCGATCTATTATTATTATTTGATTTATATAAAGCGGAAAACATTGCAGAGAAGTGTGTACTATACTACAATTAACTAATTCCGCAGTTTGGTTTTGTTTGTGCTTTACGTCCTATTTAACAGCTGTGGTCATTTAGGGACGTGTCAGGTTTCGTTGGTGGGGGTAAACTCGAGAACCTGAACAAATGTCCGACCTCCCGCCAGAACTGGCGACTATCCAACCTAGACCTCGAACCTGCAACCCTATTGGCGGAAGGCTAGTGATCTTTAAACACTCGGCCCCGTGGCTCCTGGTTTAGCAGTATTACATCATGCTCATATGGAAACGATAAAACAAAATAGTATGTAGGCGAGAGAAGGAACGATACAGGTCCCGAATGTCGCGATGGGGACAGCAGACCAATTAAGAATTCAATACTCCATATACGGAAGCGAGTCTGTAGGGCCCTCGCATTAGTCTTCTTATAGTCATGGATATGTACGAACATGATGAGGAATTTCACAGGTCTATTCTTTTATCAAACATGCACGAGGTACAAATGTCATGGAGATCTTCTGGAGCCAGAAAATTACTTTTTATTTTGCCGAAGTTGAAAAGGCACAATTCAAAGGATTAGGTACAATGTATGCAATAGTTAATAATAAAAAAATGAAAACATTTTCTCCAACATATTCTTTATATAAAAAGTACAGTTAAACATAATAAATCTGTATAACGTGATACACTGTAGCAAGTGAAGGCTTGTGTTTACAACATGTTAGGATAATTCTCATTCAAAGCACTTCAGCATTAAAAACCAAACCAATAACCATACGAACCATCCACGCAAATGAAATATTGGGTTCAGTGAGTGAATGCTCTCCCTTGGACAACAAAATAATATCACGGTTACTTCCCTTCCCCTGTATCCGAAACAGACAGGTTCGGCCATCAATGCCAACAAATCTTTCCATATTAATTTGCACGAAGAAAATAATTCACAAGCAAGAAATAAGTGACTTAATTTTAAAAATATTAAAATTAAGAAATTTATCAATCAGATTCACGCATTCGTTATCACAGACCAAAGTTTTGAAATTTAGATTTAACTACAAACATATTTAAAATCACTGTCATAAGCCAGAATTGATGTGGGGAAACCTGAATATTAACAGACAACCCACATTATATGGCAGATGACAGGGTGGTAATAAGCACACAGCCTTTCACCAAAATGGCTGAGATTTGATTCCAGGATCTTCAGACGTGAAACGCGTAATGAAAAAAGTAATAAAAACCTCTACAAGAAGTAACAGTTACATTTGATATAAGACAATTTTTTTTCATTTTTTTTTCATTTTTTTTTTTTCAAATATACATAAAACAGCACTACATATATAAAATTTTGAGAAATGGGTTAAGAATCATGATAAAAAAATGTGTAATTCATGGCTTACAGACTTGTGTTCCCATTATATGAGATGTAAGTAGTTCATTTCTCCCACCCTTCATAGGAGTGCCTCCCGTTTTGGCCGGGTAAGATCAGCTTGTCACCCCCTAGGGGGAGATAGCCTCGTGCCGATTAGCACGTGTTCAATTGTGACGTCATTAAAAGTGAATGACGATATGCATACCCCACATGTTTTTGTTTACAAACATGGCAGACTACTGTCGGTGGAGCTGTGACTGAAATAATAGGATGGGAGAAAAATAATCATCCCTTACCTTGAGGATGTAACAGAAATCTCCAACCCTCGGGGGCTTTTTTTTGGTTGTCTAACCCCCGGCAGAGCCTCGGGTTAGACAACCAAAAAACATCACCCCTAAGGTTGGAGATTTCTCTGTCACACCCTCAAGGCAGGGGAAGATTCTATTAATCAACATTTATTTAAAAAGAAAAAGATATTCCACAAATAATCCAAGCGATAAAACAGATCAGCTGTCTGTATGGTCCAGTAGTGTGGAGACACACCAAGTTTATTTCCCCTGATGTAACACGGGTGTACCAAAACTGGCCACCATGCCACAATGCACAGTCTTTCAAAGTAAACTAGTAAAATAAAGTAAAGTTTGGTAAATATGTCATAGTATATTCCTTTTCGATGTACAGGTAGAACTCTGTCTATGCTATCTAAACTAACTACGCCAAGAACAAGTTGACATGACACCTATGGGAGCAATGGCTGTGATGTCATAGGGAGGAGAGAGCAGGCTTTCCTCCCTTGGACTGGTGAGCAATGTACATGTATGTATACACTTTAAACAGACTACACCAACATTTTTATCCGAGCATGTATATATATCTGTTTATATAAGATAGGAAAATGAAATTATATGGAACCAAAAATAACTTCTGAGGGTTACAATGATTGGATAGGATTTGTGGTTCAGGAAACTGAAGAATTTCAGCAGGATTTTTTTTTTTTTACTGTTTTAAAAAGAGTATTTACTGCCCCGCAGGGTTACACTCAAACTGACCATATATGGAAACTTTGTATGCAAACACCTATTACTTCTACAGATCTCCATCCCATCATAAGGATATATATGTATAACATTTATGTATCATGATACACATATACAGACTGTGTGAGACGGGGATAAAGGGTACCACACCCCTTTTGCGAAGAATAAACAGAAATCACCCGAATTCGACATTTGCCTTAAATCTTTATCATTCAAATTAACAATATTGCTACTGTTCATGGGATTTGAACAAAAATGAATAAATTGAAAATGATATAGAAAACTTGTGAACTCTTTTCAAGAACAAAAATGGGACAGAAAAACTATTTGTCACCTATAGTCATTGCGAGTTCTTATTTTATCTTAATGACAATCAAAACAGCCTGTTTCATGACCCAGGTGGCCCGGTAGGTAAACAGAAGCGTACCCTCAACAATATATAAAAACATAGTCCATGTAACATTTCACAATTAGAATTGTTAACTACAAATAAATATAAAGAGCTGAAAAATCTTGCACAGAAGAGTAAGATTTATGACACAAGAAACCATTTTAGACAAATACAAAACAAAGTCTTGATTCTGTGTGTAGTATGATACGTATATAAATGAACAACATACATATAAATGTACATGGTCACCCAGAACAATGATCAGCATCAAAATGTCATGTCAAATGTGTGGCTACATGGCACATACACGTATTCTTCAACCTTCAACCTATGTCATCAGAACTATTATGTACTGTTATAGTAGTCTATCAGACATACAAAAACAGGAGTAGGTTCAGTCTGATTCATGTAGAGTCTTGTATTCCTTTTCCCTGCGAGCAAACGTCTCTGCGACCAGTAGGGGAAACACCAGAGTAGCCTCAGCACAAATCTGTAAAATGTCAATTGAATATAAAACACCAAAATCAAACTTCACCACATTTTTAAGATGTGCCCTTAAGGTTGAGGGGGCATCAGTTATAATTGTGAAGAAGAATTTCACTTAGCTGTTATAATTTTTTAACTTTGAGTAATCTCCCTTTTATGGAGAAGATAAGGCAATGAAAATTAGTTTTCCTGCCTTAGAGTGGTTTCACTTGTCAATGTATTTATATTTCAATATCTTGCCCTGAGATAGAGCATCAGTACCTTGACAGGGGTAGCATCCTTCTTTATCTTGCCCCAGGACACGGCCTCATCAGGACTAGCACCAGCGTCACTGCCATCAAACTCACTGGCTGTGTTCAAATACACAGAGAAGTCTGCTCCGTTCCTCTGTAAAACAGCAGCAAGGAGGAGGAACATGAAATCATTAAATTTGTCACAACACACCTGATATATGTACTACAACTGTGTTGCCTGTTTGCACTGTTTTGACTTTCTTGAATAAAAACACTTTTTAAAACTACATTGTACAGTCAAACCACCTGTGTTAAGAGACTTCTTTTAATGTTCCCCATTGTAGTGATTTCATTGCACACTGAATCTGTATTAAGATACCACCTGTGTTAATTAAGAGTCCACTTTTTGAACTTAAAGAGGCTGATGTGTACAAAACACTTTTGTAAAACATGGTACTGCACCAATCTGTTACTATTATACATTACAATCCTTATTCTTCACTCATTTTTTTAGCTATGTCACCTTGTGACCTTTGACCTTTACTTTCTGTAATTCACAGGTGAACAACTAATAAATTTTGCTTAAGTTACATTATGACCTTGAGCTTTGAACTTCAGCCAAAGAAGCCTTAAAAATTCCCACAAACATTGTATTACTGATGTCTTGATTAGGTAATTTTTTTAAGAATATATTAAACATTTCTGACAATATCTCCTTAAGGCAATTTTATTTTAATTCACATCCTAGGGAACTACAGGTGAGATAGATGACATGTACCTACATTTAGTCCCTCATATTTACCATTAGGTTAGCGTTACAGGTGTGATGTTTGATACAGACCTAACACTTACCATTAGGCTAGTGTTACAGGTGTCATGTTTGATACAGACCCCACACTTACCATTAAGATAGCATTACAGGTGTGATATTTGATACAGCCCTCACACTTACCATAAGGTTAGTGTTACAGGAGTGATGTTTGATACGGTCACACTTACCATTAAGTTAGTGTTACTGGTGTGATGTTTGATACAAACCTCACACTTACCATAAGGTTAGTGTTACAGCTGTGATGTTTGATACAGACCTCACACTTACCATTAGGTTAGTGTTACAGGTGTGATGTTTGATAGGGTCACACTTACCATTAAGTTAGCATTACAGGTGTGATGTTTGATACAGCCCTCACACTTACCATTAGGTTAGTGTTACAGGTGTGATGTTTGATACAGACCTCACACTTACCATTAGGTTAGTGTTACAGGTGTGATGTTTGATACAGACCTCACACTTACCATTAGGTTAGTGTTACAGGTGTGATGTTTGATACAGACCTCACACTTACCATTAGGTTAGTGTTACAGGTGTGATGTTTGATACAGACCTCACACTTACCATTAGGTTAGTGTTACAGGTGTGATGTTTGATACAGACCTCACACTTACCATTAGGTTAGTGTTACAGGTGTGATGTTTGATACAGACCTCACACTTACCATTAGGTTAGTGTTACAGGTGTGATGTTTGATACAGACCTCACACTTACCATTAGGTTAGTGTTACAGGTGTGATGTTTGATACAGACCTCACACTTACCATTAGGTTAGTGTTACAGGTGTGATGTTTGATACAGACCTCACACTTACCATTAGGTTAGTGTTACAGGTGTGATGTTTGATACAGACCTCACACTTACCATTAGGTTAGTGTTACAGGTGTGATGTTTGATACAGACCTCACACTTACCATTAGGTTAGTGTTACAGGTGTGATGTTTGATACAGACCTCACACTTACCATTAGGTTAGTGTTACAGGTGTGATGTTTGATACAGACCTCACACTTACCATTAGGTTAGTGTTACAGGTGTGATGTTTGATACAGACCTCACACTTACCATTAGGTTAGTGTTACAGGTGTGATGTTTGATACAGACCTCACACTTACCATTAGGTTAGTGTTACAGGTGTGATGTTTGATACAGACCTCACACTTACCATTAGGTTAGTGTTACAGGTGTGATGTTTGATACAGACCTCACACTTACCATTAGGTTAGCGTTACAGGTGTGATGTTTGATACAGACCTCACACTTACCATTAGGTTAGTGTTACAGGTGTGATGTTTGATACAGACCTCACACTTACCATTAGGTTAGCGTTACAGGTGTGATGTTTGATACAGACCTCACACTTACCATTAGGTTAGTGTTACAGGTGTGATGTTTGATACAGACCTCACACTTACCATTAGGTTAGCGTTACAGGTGTGATGTTTGATACAGACCTCACACTTACCATTAGGTTAGCGTTACAGGTGTGATGTTTGATACAGACCTCACACTTACCATTAGGTTAGTGTTACAGGTGTGATGTTTGATACAGACCTCACACTTACCATTAGGTTAGCGTTACAGGTGTGATGTTTGATACAGACCTCACACTTACCATTAGGTTAGTGTTACAGGTGTGATGTTTGATACAGACCTCACACTTACCATTAGGTTAGCGTTACAGGTGTGATGTTTGATACAGACCTCACACTTACCATTAGGTTAGTGTTACAGGTGTGATGTTTGATACAGACCTCACACTTACCATTAGGTTAGCGTTACAGGTGTGATGTTTGATACAGACCTCACACTTACCATTAGGTTAGTGTTACAGGTGTGATGTTTGATACAGACCTCACACTTACCATTAGGTTAGCGTTACAGGTGTGATGTTTGATACAGACCTCACACTTACCATTAGGTTAGCGTTACAGGTGTGATGTTTGATACAGACCTCACACTTACCATTAGGTTAGCGTTACAGGTGTGATGTTTGATACAGACCTCACACTTACCATTAGGTTAGCGTTACAGGTGTGATGTTTGATACAGACCTCACACTTACCATTAGGTTAGCGTTACAGGTGTGATGTTTGATACAGACCTCACACTTACCATTAGGTTAGCGTTACAGGTGTGATGTTTGATACAGACCTCACACTTACCATTAGGTTAGCGTTACAGGTGTGATGTTTGATACAGACCTCACACTTACCATTAAGTTAGCGTTACAGGTGTGATGTTTGATACAGACCTTACACTTACCATTAAGTTAGCGTTACAGGAGTGATGTTTGATACAGACCTCACACTTACCATTAGTTTAGCGTTACAGGTGTGATGTTTGATACAGACCTCACACTTACCATCAAGTTAGCGTTACAGGTGTGATGTTTGATAAAGACCTCACACTTACCATTAAGTTAGCGCTACAGGTGTGATGTTTGATACAGACCTCATACTTACCATTTAGTTAGCTTCACAGGTGTGATGTTTGATACAGACCTCACACTTACCATTAGGTTAGCGTTACAGGTGTGATGTTTGACAAGGCCTCCTCCCAGGATAATCATACCAGTGTTAATAGAATATACTGCCTGGTTGTTCATCCTTCTGATATCTGCAAAATGTGCGAAGTATTATCAAAGTAATTAGGACATGGATTTAAAATTTCAATGCGATTCCTAATTCATGTACATTTGCTTTTCAACCTATGATATCGAAACTGGTTAAATATTTATAGTTTCATTAGGTCTATTTCCTATCTTTAGCTTTCAATATGTTTAACACATAGATGCTTAAAACCTGCTATAACCCAGTATGGCTAATTCAGACTTTTTTGGACACAGTCTGAGCATTTCCATAATTTGCAAGCACTTACTTAGACTTTCCAGGTCTACACTAATTTTTGGAAAGAGCAGAAATGGGCAGACAAGTAGAGCATCCCTCCCTTTTGTCTTTTTTTTCTTTCTTTTTTTCCCCCACATTTTTTACAAATACATCACAGTAGACAAATACAGGAAACAAAGATATAATATCACACCTTCCCAACATTCATACATGCTTGCAAACCGTACATAACTATGATGTACATACACAAAAAAAGACAACATGTTAATCGATAAGAACAGAAATAGACATTTAGCGTAGACAAATGGTCAGAGAATATAATGTATCAAAATAGTCATCCTTACATTTAATACTACATTGTTCAGGTGTGTGTACATGTGGTGTATACGGCAGTTACAGGTATGAGTAGATGTGGTGTATACGGCAGTTACAGGTGTGAGTACATGTGGTGTATACGGCAGTTACAGGTGTGAGTACATGTGGTGTATACGGCAGTTACAGGTGTGAGTACATGTGGTGTATACGGCAGTTACAGGTGTGAGTACATGTGGTGTATACGGCAGTTACAGGTGTGAGTACATGTGGTGTATACGGCAGTTACAGGTGTGAGTACATGTGGTGTATACGGCAGTTACAGGTGTGAGTACATGTGGTGTATACGGCAGTTACAGGTGTGAGTACATGTGGTGTATACGGCAGTTACAGGTGTGAGTACATGTGGTGTATACGGCAGTTACAGGTGTGAGTACATGTGGTGTATACGGCAGTTACAGGTGTGAGTACATGTGGTGTATACGGCAGTTACAGGTGTGAGTACATGTGGTGTATACGGCAGTTACAGGTGTGAGTACATGTGGTGTATACGGCAGTTACAGGTGTGAGTACATGTGGTGTATACGGCAGTTACAGGTGTGAGTACATGTGGTGTATACGACAGTTAGCTGAATCCTTACCTTCAATGATATCTAAAACTAGACCAGGCTTTCTGTAGGAATGGAAGTACAGCATATCTCCTATAGAACCGTCAGTGAGTGCTGGACAAAACACAGGAATGTTGTTCTACAAAGCACACAAAATGATGGTAATTGTGAAAAAAATGTACTAACATTAATAACACAAGTCTTATGGCGCTTCATAAAGTACCAGGTAAATCACTTTGTCTGTGTGCATGTACAATGGACTGAAGTTTACAGGCCAGAAAATATTAATAGGATGTGTGTTTATCGAAACCAGATTCAGGATTTTAAGTTTGCACTCTGGTAAAAGTGAGAAATTTTTCACTTTACAAATGTCACATCTTTCATTGGTTGTAATAAATACCATGAATTTGTTGTTGCATGCTTTCATTATGAATACTATAAATATTTCCAACATTTTGATTAAGGCACAAACAGATAAATGAACTATAAACAATAGTAATAGATAATTGACTAAATGTTCAAGAATCAATTTAAAAGCAATAAAATAAAATCCAAGATCAAAATTCAAAGTTCAAAATATTCTGAGTATGGAAATTATTGTCTTGGTCAGATGCCTTTATTCAAACAAACTAATTAACTATGCCTGTAGGTTCTGTTTGTAGATAGCAGAATTTGCAACTAATAGGCAGATACTTTTCCCTTCTTATAATTGACAGTCGTTTTCTTTGGAATTGATATTTACAGTATTTGAATTCTGTAATGTAAATATTTGCGAATGAAGTACAAAATAATGTCTCATAATTTTTTTCTTTAGAGTAAGTACATGTAGCTAACCTGAAATTATCACTTCAGGAAGTGCAAGTCGAACTTTAGCTGTGGGTCGTTGTGGCCCATGACACTAAATCTCTATGTACAGTGCTACCTTTCTAATGTGACAACCTTAGGACACATCAGAATAAAGATTAACCCCTATAATGTGAAACCCTTTAACACAACATAATAGTCAGATTAACCCCTCTAATCTGACACCCTTGTGACACAACATTACTCCTCTAATGTGACACCTTTTGACACCACATTAACCACATGGTGTCAGATTAACCCCTGTAATCTGACACCATGGGGACACAGCTATATCCCTCTAATGTGACATCCTTTGACACAACACGCCGGTAATAGTCAGATTAACGCCTGTAATCTGACACCATGGGGGCACAGCTATAACCCTCTAATGTGCCATCCTTTGACACAACATAGTAGACAGATTAACCCCTGTAATCTGGCGCCATGGGGACACAGCTATAACCCTGTAATGTGACATCCTTTGACACAACATAGGAGTCAGATTAACCCCTGTAATCTGACACCCTTGTGACACAACATAACCCCTATAATGTGACACCCTTTGACACAACATGCCAGTAATATTCAGACTAACCCCTGTAATCTGACACCATGGGGACACAACATAACCCCTCTAATGTGACACCCTTTGACACAACATGCCAGTAATAGTCAGACTAACCCCTGTAATCTGACACCATGGGGACACAACATAACCCCTCTAATGTGACACCCTTTGACACAGCATAATAATCAAACTAACCCCTCTAATCTGTCATCCTGTTGGGACACAAGATAAAGGTCAGATTACCCTTCTTATATTACACCCTGTGGGCACTTTATTGGTCAGATCAACATGTATAATCTGAGTCACAGTACATTGGTCAGATCGGGTAAGATTTTACAATAACCAGGTTTTATTTGGTTACTATTTTTCAATTAGACAGTGTGTTGGAATAATCCAGGGTCAAATAGGACAGGTGTCACAGTACATGATATGAATGTTAGTTAAGACATATGGTTATAACTTCTTTATCACATAATGTACTATGTTATCCAGTGTCATATTTTTGCGTATAAACCCATGTAATATGACATATCAGCCCTGTGATTGGTTGTAAGTTTCAATTGTGACATCACACCAAGGACAAGTACATGACGTCACAGGCTTTAGCACTATAGTCAAAATGGTGGCTTTTTACATTTCAATGTTGCATGAAAATTGTCGTTTTACACGAATAAATGCCACAAATCTTGGTTAAGTGATAAAAAGGATCTTACACTCATTTTCATTTCATATGAAAATTATGAAACTGGTCAGAAATTTTTCACTTTAGCTCACCAGAGGCTCGCTAAATTGAGAAAAAAATCTTAGACTCGTTTCATAAATCTCATATGAAATGGAAACTCATGTAAGATCCTATATTTATTATGTTTAAAAAATAATATGATTTTAACAAATTACAAATGTAACATGGTAAGACAGTGTGTCAGTTAACAGGGTTTCTGTACAATTTGAACCTAAGCAATGTCTGTTTCATAAACTGTGTACAAATCTTAACCCTGATCTAGTTTGTGATGTTAAACATAAAGTATTAAACTAAATAGAGTAGAATCCTCTCAAGCATCTACCATCAGAATGCACCTATATCTGATTTGGTGTACATGTGACTGGTTTAAGAATTGTAAAACTTTGCTCACATTTATTCCCATGCATTTTTGCCTAAGAGGACACAACTTATGCGCAAAAGTACCTTGTAGGCCCAGTAATACACTGACTCTGGGTTGTCAATCTCTTTGCCAAGTCGAGCGATAAACTTAGACGGACACCATAGGGTACCCTGAAAAACAATACACATCACATTGGAGTCAATTCATAACAAATTTTAAGACAGTATCTAGATGTATATAACATTTACTGTAGTGAAGTTAAGCAGTTCTGGTCGACACACACATCAAGGCAAATGTTTTGTAATTTTATTTAGCTACAGATATGGTTGAATATCATATGAATAACAAGGGCCCAGTTGTTCAAAAGGTGGCTAGCTTAATCACTGTTTAACGACATATTTCAACCTTTAATAATTTTGTCAATAAACAAGGTAAATTTAAAATCGCACAATTTTGCACGTAAATTCACTCTGCTTAATATTTGATATCTGGAAAGTTTTGACAAATTCAATGGTTGTGTTTTAAAGATACACAAAAATGAAAATTTGCGCTAATCACCTTTTGAACAACTAGGCCCAGTTTATATAGCTGTGGGTTCAAAACTCATTAACATCATTGTTTTTACATTCCAGGGGCCCAGTCAACACTAGCTATGTATAGTGTACATGGTACAGCAAAATAAGGAATGTTATAATACCTGTTCACGGTACATATGTCAAACTAGAAAACGTCTGTAAGACATGAAGAACCATTTGGTTCCATAAACGGCGAAATGACCTTGGTGTTGACCTTTGACCTTTTTCATAATTGACCTTTCTTAGAAATTTTGATTCAAATCTCTTAAACCATGAAGCCAGTGGCTAGAGTCATGTCTATGAACTGCCTTCTCACAGCTACGGGACAGGGCAGACATGGGTAGCACTATAACCCAACAACAGGCAAGTGCATAAAAACCAGCAAAAGAAACTTTATTGGAACCAAAAGCAAATATTTCTTTGATTTAATGGGAGCATTTGTCAAAGTCAAATCATGCCATAAAGAAATGATTCTTACCTCTTCCTGTTGTTCTTTGAGCATCATGTCCAGTTTAGGCATTAGCCAGTCCTCAAACAAGCCATAATTGTCGTTGGGTACGAGCAGGTTCCCGATTCTGTTGATGCCTTTCTCACGCAGTTCCTTGCCCTTGAGACTAAAGTCACCCGTGAATGTTGGTGCTAAACACTTGATAAAGTCCTCTTCTACACCTCCAGCTGTTGTAACTATACAATCGACCTGTACAGAAAACATCAATAGTAATGCCTCTTCTTGTTGTGTTGTAATACTGCTTATTGGTTCTTACATACATTATGTATTAATATATTCCCTGGGATTTCGGAGCCAGATATTTTTAAACTTCTTATCATATCCTTTCTGTTTAAATATTGCCTTTGGAGAAACTCAACTCCCACCAACATCAAATGGTTGTTAATCAGTTTGAAATAAACACATTTTCCCTGATAAAACCTTCAAATGCGTACTGTAAATCTATATGCTCAAAGTGTTTTGCGCTTTAATGCTAAAATTGAGAATTTAAAAAAAAAATAGATTTCAAATTTAGGGATGATTATTAATTTTTATTTTGCTGATTTTAATGTTTACTTAATTAAGTTTCAATGATCTCATTATGGAACCACCAAATCACCAAAATTGTTTTCCTGCAAAAATAACCCTTTCTCAATTGTCAACAAGAGGCACATGCATAACCTTTGGCCCCTGTAGCCATCCCCTTGACTACTGAGTAGAAAAGAAAACCTTAACTCCCATCCCAAACCTGTTAACTCCCATCCCTAACCTTTAAACTCCCATCCCTAACCTGTTAAGTCCAGCAATGGACATTTTCTGTTTCAAAAATAAATTCTAAAATATCTTCATACGAACAGAGCTAATATCACCATAAAATATAGTATTTAACCCTTTCACCACCGTAGACCATAATGGACTCATCCAAATCAATCCATGGTAGAGTCTGCTGAAGTTACATAGTTAATGTTTCCAGTAGAAAGACTTCTCAAGAATTCCATCATTTTTCTGTATGAGAATTTTGTATTTATCTGGTACTGTAAAATTCCAAAGACATCAAACCAAATTTCACAGGATTGTAATATTACTGCCTAATTAGCCTGTAAATGTCACTACTGATGTAAGGCCTTACCATGTTGTTCTGTACAAGGTATTTGAAGATCTCCCGGACACCTGATGATATGAGGTTGGAGGTGTAACTGAGGAAGATAGTACAGTTGGATCGTTTTCGCCCGACAGGATTCAAATTGATCTCCTCCTGTCTGTCCAGGGGGACTGGTTCCATCTTCTTATCAATCTGTTACATAACATATAATTGTTATTGTCATCATCATTATTAAGTTTATCCTGCAATAAGCCCTGGGGTCCTACACATCATTTCAATCTCAAAGAAGATTCAAGAGCTAGGGTGGGCTTATTACAGGACAATGAAATAACATCTGATGGCATAATTTCTACAAGAACTGCAGAAATATGAATGGGCTTATTTCCAGGCATGAGATTATTGCTAAAAAATAGTATGTACAGTGAGCTCGCTTATTATGATATTCTATTTGCCAGAGAAAAATATCATAATAACCGATATATCATAATAACCGATATCATTATAAGTGGGTTCCACTGTATATACATTTGTATATCATTTGGCATTGTGTTGCAGGTAATACTAGCTAAATACAGGCTTCATAAAATTTTTAAAAATTCTATGGGGGGGGAGGTTTTTGCTTAAAATTAAAACATAAATAATATGTTTGTATATAAACCCTAGTGACAAAATAACCCTTTAAATGACATATGTTGATTGATTATTTTTAGATGAAATCCTTCAATCTTAGAATACAGGAATATTTCAGAAAATTCACAGGTTGAAAATGCTAAATTTCAGGGTCCAAAATCAGGAGTCTCCCTTTAAATAGGGAGGGTTGGCTAGTATGCAATCAGTGTTATAGTGTTACATGCCTCTAATGTTAACTGTATACAGAAAAGGTACAAAAATAGTACTGTTTCCATGATCTGACACTATTAACCTCTGTCTGGAACTGTTCACTAGGCCTGTTTGAAGATGACTGGATTATCTAACGAGAACAAAGATGGCCAAATTATCGAGACTAATTTCTCTGTGCTTTAGTGTACGCACATTGTTTGTTTTGATAAAAACTTACCATTTTATTAATTTCCTTAACAGCCAATCCAAAGTTGCTGGCCTGGAATCCTGAGCAAGCATAGGTCTTGAGGAGCTCATGGTAGTTAATTCCCTTGTTGAAGTCATAACCTTTGACCTTTGGGACAGAATCTGGGATTGGTTGTGTACACTTGACCAACACAGCATCTGTTGCCATGGAAGGTGGTCCGCCAATCTGATCTGGAAACACAACAGGAACTTATTGTTATCATTCTTATTTCATTACAATATTGTACTGGTCATTTATTATTTGAAGTTTTCTTTTTTCACAGACAGCACAGTGATATTGTCATGCGGACCGAAACCAAGTCCACCCCTACATTCCTCTATGATACACTACTATAATTGGTGTCAGAGTGAATACAAGAAATCATGACTTTTTAATTTAGCCACTCCTTATGCTTCTAAAAATTGTCCATATTCGAAATATTCATGTGCATAATTAAACATCCAGGTGAACAGGTATGGAGTCACCTGCCCGACCCCGTGGGTTTTCTCCAGGTTTTCCAGTTTCTTCCCACATTGAAACTCCATCCAGGCCAATAAGAGTAATTAATAATAGTTATTTGAACTTGTTTCACAATTGTTGTAAAAATAAATAAAGTTTAATCAATTAAATCAGCTCGCTATTAAATGGTCACAAGAATGTAACTACTAACTATCATGATGTAACATTTTCACCTGTCTTATACTGTACTGTATCTTACAGAATTTCAAGGACTTGAGTTGAGTCAGATTGGCATTATTGTATGTTGTTTAATAGCTTTCAATTAACTTTTAATGTGAAACTGATTTTTGTTCACCTAGTTGCTTAAGATAAACACATATCCTGTCCTTTTAATAATATGTAACATGATCCTCTTTATACCATCCTTGGGTTTCCAGGGGTTACGCTCACTTTCACTCTCTCCATCCCTTGAATACGTCATAGAAAAATCAGATAGCGGTTTGATTGGTTTCAGGTAAAAAAAAACCTGACCGATCACTAGGCTGAATCGATTCCTGTCCTTTGAACATTACAGAGAGGCGACACGCAATTTCAAGCCAGTCAATTTGTTACCTGTTACCCGACTGCGATCAAAGGATCAAACTAGTCTTCTTGTCTCATCAACAATGTGAAACACACTGAGCCTTTAAAGACATATTCCAGGGGTGCAGACAGCGAAAGTGAGCATATACCCCTGGAGTATCGAGGATGTTTATAAACTCAAGGCCTCATTAACTCATTCACCCCTGAGGACACATTTCAACTCTTCCAATTCAAAGGATGGAATAGTTCATTATGAAATTTCAGGGGTGAATGAGTTAACAATACTCATGAAAGAAAGATTTTTTAAGGTAAAAACTATGTATACATACCTGATCCAGATGTAGACATCTTCACCTGTGTTGACTGCTCTGGGGTCTCTGCAGAAGTGAACTGATTTGATTTGACCGAGGTGATTTATCTCTGTATGTAACAGTTCTGTATGGTGTCTTCAAGCTCCCTGTTTTAGTTGGCTGTGACTTGCAGTTATCTGTCTGTTGGACTTCTATAAGGTAATTCCTCAATCTCTGTTAGTTCTGAGGTGACTCTACTTTAACTGTAAGTCGTGTCCCGAGTTGAGTCTCTTATGAAGCTGAGTTGACTTAATTATCTTTGCTGGCCTCAGGGTGGTATAGCAAGTCTTTAGCTACTAGGGCCTCATACTGTGGAATAAAACAACGTAACACACTATCACTAGGATGTGACTATACAGTACACGTTCCCTCAATACCTGAAGTTCTTTTCAGCAGCAGTGTAAATAAAAGACCACCTGGCAACACAACTCTAAGCAACAGCTGCTCTACAATTTATTATCAGGTGTATATCTTTCAAATGTGACAAGGTTTTAAGTAACAGAAATTTTAATAACCAATCAGATAAGAATTTTCAATGTATAAATAAAATCTCATCAATATTTTTGAACTAGGATCAAACGTGATCGATAATCTCTATGTAAATTTATGTAAAAGTAATCATATTGTAGAATTTAGGAAAAATTACTATATTGGTCCCAATCATTTTGTTTTCAGGAGACCATGCACTTAACAGGCTGAAGTCTTCCCCAATATCTGGTATATATTGCACCAACAGTAAAATCTTTCAAAAAGAAATTAGAGAAGCATTGGGGAGATCAAGAACTTTTATATAATTATAAGTCCGAAATTCTATAGAAATTGGAACTGTTGTCTAAATTGATTTATAGTCTTCAACACAGTTAAAGCCCTCAAACATTTTGACAATAACAGGTATAAGAAGGGATAAGTTATATTATAAATTTAAACAGTTAGGAAATATCTTGTTTATAGAAATGCAATGTGTATTTAGAAAACGATCAACCAGTATCTTTTTAAAAGTATTGTTTGAGTCTAACATTCAGCCATCTTACACCACTTTAATTAAAATACTGTCTAGAAATTTTCTAGATTTATATCTGAAAAGAATTTGTTGTCGGCCTGAAAGTACTGCTGTACAATCGCATGATGATTGTACGTAGAGACCGACAACTAACTAGCGTTAGCGTTGCTACCAAAGACTGATTTTTACATGAAAAAGTAAGTACATTCACAACACATTGGGCAGTCTCTGTTAAATAAGATTTCAAGCTCCAAAAATTTGCTTTAAATTTTCAGATGTTTTCAGGTTTTAGTGCAAGACCATCGGAGATATACATGTGACAAATTCTTCAAAAGCCTGTTAAAAATAGCAACAATAATGTCACATGACGGTTTTGAAATGAGGCAGTAAACACAGGTGGTCTGACCGAGATGCAAAGTTTCCAAAGGGGGCCCCAGTGAGGGGTCGTCAGGCAACTGCAACTTCTTACCGCACTTTGATTTTTTTAAGTCTGTGTTGAAACTTATTGAATCCCCTTAGCAGTAATTATTCATCATCAAAAGTTAATTGCACACATGCCAATATTTAAAATTTAAATAAAGAAATATTTGTTGGCATCTCTGCATTTTTTACAGACACCAAGAAATATCTATTACTGGAATGTGACCGGTACAAATGGGTACGGGACTAAACACCTTCCCCCAACAAGTGGACAAACCTTTCTGTAAAAAAGAATATTCACAAAACGAATATCCTTTTTCATTTTTTTCATTAAGTGTATACATGTATATGTGCATTGACAAGTTTAAAAAAAGAGAAATGTTTGTGATTTTTTATTATTACAACTCAATGTCTTTGGCCACTTTTTTCTAGACCATGCATTATATATATATATACATGTATACTCTAGATCTCTTTCCCACTTACACTGTCTTCATACGTTTAACACTTAGTAAGTCATATTAGCCATATCACACACAATAAACATTTCTGGCAAAACCACTCTGGGACACGTGTTGCGATACTTGATAATTATGTTTTCAATACTTTACAGAGATTATAGCATGTACTTGTAAATGGACTCTTTTTTTTTATGCTGAGACAACTTTTCTTTAACCAGTTCCTTTTGTCCGACACAGAAGACATAGTTATCAGTAACACATGCCATTTTAACAACGTAAACAAATGACTCTTTCCCCTTTTCAATGCGTATTTAGATTCTATTTGAAGTCGAAAATTTATTATTTCATATAAAAAAAAAGGTTGTTGCATGATCATACATTCTAAGTCAACATCATGTAAAAACATGAACTGTTGAAACATTACGATTTAAAAAGTGTTTTTGTTATGCGATCCTATTTACTAAAAGTAGGTTAGTGAAAGAAGATTCGAAGTGCATTCAACCATAACATACAAAGATTTTACCCAAATGCAGGATTATTACGGATATAATATAATAAATAATAATCTTTATATAACGCCGTTGTGCCCAACCTGTCAAAGTGAATAGTGCCTTTTTTTGTTCCTAATGTTTAAACGTGTTTTATTCCACATTAATCGCCACTGTACATAGTAACTGTTACCCAAAATGGAGGATAATTACCCAAATGAGTGGTTGTGTCCGACCTGCAGTGTGTTGTATCCGTCAAAACTGGAAACATGAAGCAAGCACCTGCTGATAAGAAAAGTTCACTTACATTATCAGTCGGTGACAGTCTTCTATTCGTCACATATAGAGGCTACTGATGCACCAATCGATGTTAACAGCTGGTAATAGTTATTGTTGTTTCCTCCAGTCGATATAATGTGTCGCGGACTGCATGCAATCGTTATGTCGTATGCAACATGCAACCCAGTCAACAATCAATGTATCAGAGGCGCTTAAAAAACTAACATTGGAACCGGAACGGATCCCGGAGACTGGATAATTTCGCAACCTGGGGCATTGAGGCATTGTTTCACATATTCACAATTACAACGAACGTTTCAGTTTTTCATACTTTTTTTCCATGCATAAATATATTTATAAATTGTGTCGTGGATAATTTCATCAGATTTTACATGTATTTTTTTTACTTATTTTGCATATATTTTACTTATTGGTACATGATCCATCATATAATTTATTCAGTAGCGCCCTGTGAGATATTATTTTTTTCTATTATTTTTTCCCCCGTACAGTCTCAAGTATGCTCAGGTTATTCCTATCTTCAAAGTAGCTATAACATGTTAGACCAGTGAACATATATACTACCTAGTATTTCTAACATTTATAAGGGACTGCTCCATAATGATAAATCAACTTTCATTATTCTACGAAGAAATTTTTAACCTTTTTTTCTCAGTGCCTACTGGACTGATTTTGGGTGTCAGACTGTCCTTCTGCGCATGCTAGAGAACTTGCGAAGGGCCTTGGACGGTGGCAACTTTAATTTGTTGGGTCCATTTAATGGACTTGTCCAAAGCTTTCGACTGCCTCCCGCATGGCCTGTTCCCGAGAGAGCTACATGTAACAGCCTATGGTGATTCGTGAGAGACTATATTGACTTCTTGCGAAGCTACTTCAGGAACAGGAGCCAGAGGGTCAGGCTGGGGCCCAGCTTTAATGACTTGAAACCACTGCTTAAAAGGGTGTCTCAGGGCTCAATACTTGGACTGATGATTTTTAATGTTTATTTTATCAATTATGTTTTTTTACAACAATAAGGAGTCCACTTTGTACAATTACGCTGATGGTAATACACTAATTAAGTAACATAAACGAAAGTGACCAAACTATGAAAAGTGTTTTAGAAAGGTCGAATGGTTATACAATAATGGTATGAAGGCTTACCCTGACAAATTTCAGTCCATATGTATTGGGCCTAATTTAAAAAAATGTTTTTCTCATTTTAATATTCCGAACATCAACATCAAATGTGAATTTTAACTGTTAAATCACTTGGTGTTGACATAGACAATCTTTTAAAATTTGATGTTCAAATTTCAAACATATGCAGAAAGGCATCAAGGCAGCTGGCTGTATTGAACAGACTAGGAGAACATTCAAGAGGCTCATTTGCAAATCTTTTATTCTATCAAATTTCGAGTACTTTCCTCTTATTTGGCATTTTTTGTAGCCAGTCTGCAACCAACAAAATGGAGGTATAACAGGAAAGAGCCTCGCGTTTTGTTTTAGATGACTATGAGTCCGATTTTAAAACACTACTGTTACAAACTAAGTCTTCTTTCTTGCACATAAAAGGCATGAAAATGATGACATGTGAGTTTTTTTTAAATGTAAACAATATATCTCCAGGGTATATACAAGAACTGATCATTAAAACCCGTAATCTAAGGCAAGAGGAGACTGTATAATGTACCTAAGGTAAGAACTACGAAGTATGGGAAAAATCATTTCGGTACGAGGCTGCCCGCTTATGGAACTGTCTGTCTAACGACCTACGAAAGGCTGATGACTGTAAGGATATCCGCAGGCAGGTCTTTGTGTGGGACGATCTCAACTGTAAGAGTTCCATGTGGTGTAATGTAACACACCTTGGAAACTTTGCTTCCCTGTCTGGTGGTCCTCTCCTGTCATGCATATACTATTTTATTGAAAATGTAAACCTGAAATCTTTGATACTTAAGTTTTTTTTGTGTGTATTTTCTTGAATTTTCGTGCCTTCAAATGTTATCACAATCTGTATCCGTACGAGATCTATGTATATTTAACAAACTAAGTGATACATAATTTATTTTTAATTTTTAATCTGTTTAACTTTAAGCATACTAGTCCAGTCTTTTAACTTTGAGTACTGTATATGATGACATTGCTATTTATAACTATCTTATACTACTGTGATGTGCGCATTAAGCATCGCTGGTATAATTATGTATGCTTATGTGATATTCGTTAGTTGTATTTGTCCTAACTTGTATCATATTTACCATTTGTTTTATATTTACCATGTTTGTCGAAATACAAGCTCCTGAAAGCTTATGTTTATTGTTCACCATATTCGACGTTAAATAAAGTTTCTTGTATCTTTTATGTTGTATCTTTGTATCCAATGATGACTGTTTTCATTCGGAATACTGAAGCTGCCTGGGATTTTTTGGTATACATATGTAATTGTTTCATATTAACTGTTTTCTTTGATTTGAAATTCGTGATACGTGTGTAAAAGGAGAAGGAAAATGCGCGACCAGACCAGGATTCAAGCTCGGACCCTCCGAACTCTAGACGGACGCTCTACCAATATTGAGCTATCTGGTCGCCGGCGATCGACCCAGTACGTCCAGTTCCGGTAGTTCAAACAATTATAAGGAGTTTGAAATTTCCATAGATGAACATTTTAAAGAAACAATATATGATACGCGAAACACAATAACACTATATGATACGCGAAACACAATAACACTATATGATACGCGAAACACAATAACACTATATGATACGCAAAACACAATAACACTATATGTTTTACATATGTATATTACTGTTATTGACACGCATACAAATGATTTAATATGGACCTAGAAGTGTTTGTCCATTGCTATGAAATTAAATCAAATGTATGCAATTGTTTAATTCTTTCTGTGTTTGGATAAAATATGTCGGATTTCCTCGAAAACTTCTTTGCTTATATGTATGTATACATTATGTTAATTTTGTCATGTGTTTTTCCCCCATGAACATTCTTTTTTGGAGCGACTTTTTGGTTGAATTTGTGGCGCTACCCTCGCCAATTCAACCGCGCTTGTTCACGTGATTTTTTTTACGTTTGTTGTCTAATGTATAGTTAGTTACTGTCTCAATTTCGCGATTTTCTTTGACCTATGATTTTTCTGGTTGAATGTGGGGTGACCCTAGGATGCCGTGTGGGATGTGTGGGGCGTAGCCCCAGATTTTTTTTATACAAGCTCCGTGCATTATTTGATGCATTTTAAAATGTTAATATGTGCCCATTCCCGGCAGATCAGACCATTTCGGGCCGGCCCGGAAAAGGTCAGTCCGCCGCCAAAAGGGGGGCCCGCNCTGGATCCGCCACTGTATTACCATTTTAGAGTATAAGTGAAGCACACTCCAGTTTCTTATAACCACTTTTTCAGTTTTTACTGGCTGTACAGTGTATTCTGGAAACTGGCTGTACAGTGTATATCTGGAAACTTCATGACTTTTTGGATAGAAAAAAAAATCATAACACTTTTTCATCTTTCATAAAGGCCTTGTGCATAATTTTAATCTCCCAAAAAAGTGCAGCCTCTCATCGTATTCAATAGGCCCTAGGCATATATAAAGAAGCCTCGACGACAGGTATTGAGGTAAGGCAATTCAAATTTATAAGAGGCGGAAAAAATATCAAGATTTCCGTATAATTTATTAGAAAACCGTAATAAACTTCCGTTTATCGATTACATTGTATTTTTCCGACAAATCGACCATCAAATTGTGACAAAGACTTCGTACACGATATGCATAGCAGAAAATAGTAAGTTTTGTAGCATCAGACGTTGTAAAAGAAACTTAGATATTAATTAAGATAAGTGTCCATTCAATGTGTCAGAATGTTATGGATGTTTTCTTGGTTTATATTCTGTTGGTCGGGACAAAAACCTGAATACATTAAAGTTATGCTAATGAAGCAGTGAAATGTCACAGTAATGTACTGTAGTCTGTATCCTTATGATATATACGAATTTTACATATGTTATAGATCCATCAATTTCCCCTAAATATCATGGATAATAACATAAAGCACATGCATCTGCGCCTTGTATGTAAATGTTGTGAATAGTCAACTGGAACACTGCAGGGACCTGATAATTTGTTACAGCTATATTTGGACCTAAACTAAGGGGTTCAGAGTAATTTTACATGTTTCAGGGGTTTAGATCGACTTTCGGTAAAAATGACACCCCAATGATTATAAAGGGGTACATTCGCGTATCCGGTTGAAACGGTAAGTGGCGCAGAAATATTCCAGGATAAACGAACGCTCTTGTACCGTTCTATAAGTAGAGCTAAAAATGTTTCGGAGAATAAAAAACAATGTATCAAGATTATTATACCCTTCTCTCACACGTCCACTGAATTACATATTGTATCTTAAAAACTACATGTGGCTTGACATTGTTTTAGAAAGAATTGCCGCAAACTGGCAATAGTCAGCATTTTAGTTGTGGCCAGGTACGTCTGGACCCCCCAATCTACCCAGGCCAAATTTTCCTTTGGTCAGTCTGTACCTGTCGTTTTCTTTACAGTTTCAACGGTTTCAACCGGATATACCCGAATGTACTCTAGGTGAAGGGCAGAAAGCTTTTGATGTCGAAAAGTCTACCCCACCCAACTTTCTTGCTTCAAAAACAACATTTCTAGTTGATATACGGAAAAATGCGTAGTACCTTTGGAAAGATTTATAATTTTTCTTTTAAAAACCTCCTAGCTTTATGCACTTAAAATGTATTCTCCTTCCATGGACATGATCTCTGTTTCCTATAAAAACACACCATTTCAGAGTTTCAAAGTTTTTCGCAGTCATCGTGCCACTTTTTTAATATGAATGAGGTTGAGGTCAAACGCGTGCTGATACCTGTGGTGCGATTGACTGAAAGCACAGCCATTTTTTCGCTAAACCAACCAACACTGCATGTTTCGGCACGCGCTGATCTCATTCATATTAAAAAAAGTTGCACTATGACTGCGAAAATCTTTGAAAATCTGATCATTGGGGGTGTCATTTTTACCGAAAGATGATCTAAACCCCTAAAACATGTTAAATTACTCCGAACACCTTAGCTTAGGTCCAAATATATAGCTGTAACAAGTTCTAACGTCCCTGTGAACTGGACTGGGTCAATCACTGGCGACCAGGGTATGCGCCCGTCGAGAGTTTCTTAAAGTTTGGATCTCGGTCTGGCCGTGCATTTCTCTTCTCCTCTAACATTTTTGCCTGTGACCAACCATTGTACAAAGTACTGAATGTTTACGCTTGACAAGGGGATACCAGAACCTCAGTTGTAAATCGTACATGTGCTGTCTTGGAGATGAAGACTTAATAGAAAAAGGAGGGAGGAATATTGTGGAACAGGACTGGGTAGATTGCAGACGACCAAGTAGCTCAATTGGTTTGAGCATTTGTTTTGAGTTCAAAGTGAGCTCCCAGGTTGAAATCTGACGTATGCACTCTGCATTTTTCCCCCCTGTGACATAAATAAGTAGAATATGAAATACACCAGTCTTTCTTATACTACTACATTCAATAAAGTAGGATAGGGAATACTTATTGTTTTACATGTTTACATACTGGACACATGCATTTGGATTAACAGCAGCAATGTTTGGACCAAAACTGATGTGAACATATATATATATCAAGTAACATTAAACATTTTAGGGGTTTAGGTCAACTCTCAGAAAAAATGCCACCCCAAGTGATTGTATGAACTGTACATGGATGTTGGAAAGCTCACTTATTTTTTTTTACCCCATCTTGAAGTTCCTCTCATGAAAAATCACATTTATAGTGGATTTACAAAAGCATGCTTAATACAGTACAATGTACCATTGGAAAGATGTATTTTTACAAACCCCCTTTATCCTCTTAAAATGTATTCTTCTTAATCAAAAGTCTCGTTATTAAAACCACTCTGGTTTCTGTTGAGTATAAAATACCTTTATTTGATTACTGGCACTGCATGAAGGATATAGATGATTATATCCAAACATTGAGAAAGTCTCATTTATATCCATTCAGATGATCAAGACTAAAGTATAATCAAGAAGTTCAACTTCATATACGCACATCTAGAAATCCAACGAGCTCTTCGTTTTGTTATATATATAAGAAATGGTCATGTCATTAATGAAAGTGAGCATTCAAAGTGTTATCCAACCTCACTCACAAAGTGTAAATAAGGTCCTTATAAAAGTCATTATGTGTAATATACATAGAGGATCTGTCATAAGTTTCCCTTCATATCAGATTTATGATACAAGTTATCATAAATCTATATCATCAATCTAATATGAAGGGAAACGAATGACAGATTCTTTTTATCATATGATACAAAGTAAACTGTATAGTTGTGACCTGAAACGAATATTTTGCACTTGGCCACCTCTGAAGCAATGAAAATTGCAGCCGCTTCACAATGATGTGATGTCACATTGATTGTTCCTATTCGATTGTAACATCATTTGTGGAGTGATAATACACACGTTACATAAACATAACTAATTTGATGGCTTTATGACACTACATAACATGGTATTCATATGATAAATAATGATATGTTATCATATCAATAAGAGTATTCTATTTGAATGATTCAATTTTTGTAAAAAGGTCATTTTTATGCACAATAAAATTTTTTCTAACACACACTCTTTCTAACTAGCTAGCACCTTCTAAACTTAAATGTTTTCTATTAAGACATATCTACACTGCTGTCTATGAACCTAGGAACATGTATTATGTTGACAGTTTTCACCTTGTGTTTTCCAGGTATGGCAGTCAGAGAAAAAAGAAACGAGGTACCTAAAAGATTGCGGAAACAATGTTATGTACCATGGCAAAAGCGAATATCAAATTGAAAAAAATAAACTTTTAACATGATGGAAACAGAAAATGTTATTGAGGTCAAAAAAGAACCAATTGATTCAGATGAAGGGGAAACAGATCCTATTTCTTATCAAGATGAAGACGATCAAATGTCTACAGAAAATATAGCAAAACAACCAAAACAAAGCAAGGGTGTGTCTCCAGCTCGACCTTCTACACCCCCTTATTACACACAGAACCACAATGTAGGAGGGAAATGGAAAGTGGCCAAAGAAAAGAAGCAATACAATTGCAAAACATGTAAGTTTAAGTTTACCAGCAAGACATGGCTTAGCAAACATGAGAGGATGCATGAAGATATGGAGAACAAAGCAAAGTTGTATAAATGTGAGATTTGCAGGAAGGAATTCACACAAAAGATAATCTATCATGACCATATGGCAGCACATGAAGGACGAAGACCCTATGTATGTGACAGATGTGGCATGGACTTCACATGGTACAGGGCATTCTACAGACATCAGCAAAGCCACAAGACAGGTGGACAGGAATTCTCATGTCATCTATGTCACAGAAGATTCAACAGTAACTGGAACCTGGCGAGGCATCTGAAAGAAATACATTTATCACAGCAAACATTCCAGTGTTATATTTGTGAAGAACTATTTGAAAAGAAAAATCTATACCAGATTCATATGAAAGCTCATGATCGAGATGAAAGAGACAGCAAGAAAAAAAATGGTATTGTGAGCGAAAGAGTCAAACAGAAACATCTAAAAGTTTCTAAACTTGTTTGTGCTATGGTGCAATCCCAGTCTAGAAACAAAAACAAAGATGTAAATATTCAAGAGAGTGACATGTCGTCTGATGATGAGATTACAGCGTCCGAATTGATAGGAAATTTCACGGAGGACTCGGAAATGAAAGACATAAATTCTTCTTATGGTGATTGCAATGATGCAGAGTTTTTTCAAAAAGTATCTAATTCACAGGAAACGGACGATAATTGTCTTGATAATACATCTGAGGCGATTATAGAAGAGATTGAAAGTCAGGAGATCAATTCTGCTCTTGCCAAAACTATAAAAACTGTCACGAAATCTTCATTAGTAAGTAGTCAAAAACAAAAGCCTCAACCCATATGTGATATCTGTGGAAAGAGTGTATACAATTTGGATGCTCACTTACGAATCCACAGTGGGGACAAGCCATTCAGATGCTGCTTGTGTGATAAAGACTTTGCTCAGCGAGAAGCACTCAAAATTCATTACAGATCTCACACAGGGGAGAAACCATTCCTCTGCAGTACATGTGGTAAAGGATTTGCAACAAGAGGCCTTCAGCAGGATCACGCTAGAGCACATAAAGGAGACAAGCCCTATCAGTGCGATGTTTGTGACGCCAGGTTCTCTTGGAGATGTGCTCTCAGTAGACATAAACAGCTACACTCCACCGGACCAAAACCGCACTCATGTTCTGTATGTACATTTGAATGTTGGAGAAAACACGATCTCGTAAAACACGAGAAGACACATTTGTATGATAATCATTATCAGTGTGATTTTGAAAATTGTACAGCTATTTTCACCAACAAAAAACACTTTGTAAAACACAAAAACGAGCATAAAGGTCCCGAAAATTCTGTGTCAAAGGTGTCGCCTCGAAGCGGTCGAATTATCAGAATACAACGAGCTAAAAAAGATGACAACACCGATCAAACTGAATCCAACGTAAATCACCCTACAGACTTTCATGAAGTCGAAATAAAACAAGAGCCAGTCGACGAGTTTGTGGATGATGAGCATCATATTCTTGACAAGAAGACGTCAGATACACCTACTATGTATATAACATCAAATGAAGGTCAGATGCCGACTGTAATAACCAATACAACAGGAGAAGAAGAAACGGATCCAGATTCCGGCAAGCTTCGGTATGTTAAAGGAAAACGGTTGCATTTGAATCAAGACTTGCAACGTTTGCTAAGTAAGAAGCTCAATGAGAGGAAAATGGCCAAACCGTGTATATCCGGTGTTGGGTCTTCAAGTGTCTGTTTAGCATCAAAGATTGAAGAACGAACACATGGACTTGGGAGGCAAGCATCGTGTGACAGTGAGGTTGAAGCATTAAAACATAGGAAAAACCAAGTAACAATTTCAATGGACGATGTGATCGAAAAGGATTGCCAGTCCACCAAAACCTGTGACAAATCTAAGTCCAACAGCAATCAAGTATGTTGTGAAGTTTGTGGTAAAACTTTGAACATATCCTACTATCATATTCACGTGCGGAAACACATGGAAGAAATGGCTCACACATGTGAGATATGTAACAAGTCATTTTCGCGGAAACCAGATTTAATCGTACACTCTAGGGTCCATACTAATATCAGGCCTTTCCAATGCAGGACTTGTCCAAAGGCATTCAAAGTAAAAAGCTTGTTGGAGGATCATGTCAGGTCGCACGATGGAATTAAACCGTATGTATGTAGTCTTTGTGATGCCTCGTTTGCATGGAGATGTGCGTTCCACCGTCATGTAAAGACGCACTCTATTAAAAAGCCGTTTCAGTGTGATGTTTGTGGGAAAGATTTCCGTCGACGGAGGGACTGGACTTTTCATATTGAAAGGAAAACTTGTAAATTTGCCAAGACTATCATTTACAAATGCAACGACTGTCAAGCTGTATTTGCAAATCTGGAAACACTAGTGTATCACAACGAAAAACATCACAAGGAAACACCTTCCTTGAATGTATTAGATATACAAACTAAATCACCGCCATTCTTTGACACCTCATCTGACGCTTCAGAAGCACTGCCACCAGATTCAATGTTATCACCTTCTAACGAGATGACAGGTAATCCAGATGTGTTTGATGAGGAATCATTACCCGAAAGTGACGTGGTTGACGAACAAAACAAAGCCTACCAAACATGTCCAGATGAATCCATAGATTCAGACACGGACAAAAGAAAACCTGTAATTCCATACCACCCGTTCGTTGCGTTGAACAACTGTATAGTTCGTGAGGGGGATGATTCTGAAAGGGCAACTGAAGTTAATGATGAAGATAAAACGGATATATCACTTGCTAAAAGTTTGTTGGGTAAAATAAAGAAGGAATGTGTAGACAGCGATTCAATTTTTATCTCGAATGTTGCTCACACATGTGAGATATGTAACAAGTCATTTTCGCGGAAAACAGATTTTATCATACACTCAAGGGTCCATACTAATATCAGGCCTTTCCAATGCAGGACTTGTCCAAAGGCATTCAAAGTTAAAAGCTTACTGGAGGATCACGTCAGATCGCACGATGGAATTAAACCGTATGTATGTAGTCTTTGTGATGCCTCGTTTGCATGGAGATGTGCATTCCACCGTCATGTAAAGACGCACTCTATTAAAAAGCCGTTTCAGTGTGATGTTTGTGGGAAAGATTTCCGTCGACGGAGGGACTGGACTTTTCATATTGAAAGGAAAACTTGTAAATTTGCTAAGACTATCATTTACAAATGCAACGACTGTCAAGCTGTATTTGCAAATCTGGAAACACTAGTGTATCACAACGAAAAACATCACAAGGAAACACCTTCCTTAAATGTATTAGATATACAAACTAAATCACCGCCATTCTTTGACACTTCATCTGACGCTTCAGAAGCACTGCCACCAGATTCAATGTTATCACCTTCTAACGAGATGACAGGTAATCCAGATGTGTTTGATGAGGAATCATTACCAGAAAGTGACGTGGTTGACGAACAAAACAAATCCTACCAAAAATGTCCAGATGAATCCATAGATTCAGACACGGATTCAAGAAAACCTGTAATTCCATGCGATCCGTTCCTAACTGAAGTTGATGATGAAGATAAAACGGATATACCACTTGCTGAAAGCTTATTGTGTAACATAAAGAAGGAATGTGTAGATAGCGATTCAATATTGATCACGAATATCAACTCTACCGAATCAATGAAGGATTCTTCCACCTTTTCAAACACAGACCTAAATAATCAATCCAACAGTAAACAAGATCCTGATCACATCGGTAATAACATGCTACCATTAAACACTAATGCCTATGCGTTTATCAACTGGACTGGAGGGAATTTACAAATAGAACCATCCAGTGTGAATGAATCTTCTCTTTTATCTGGTGTAACTGAAGACAGACTGAAGTGTAAAATATGTGGGAGATGCTTTGTGTCTTCTTTAGGTCTGAAGGTTCACTTACGCATTCATTCGAAGGATGCTATGGACATATACGCTCTTCACTTTCGTCCGGATGAGTTAATGACAAAATCCAAGAAGGAAAAGGAAGCGAGGAACTTGAAATACAAATGTGAACTTTGTGATAAGACCTTCCCATTCGCCAGTGGGTTGAGGATTCATATGATGGCGCATTCCGGCAAACTTCCATACAGCTGTAAAACTTGTGGGAAGAGATTCCCATATTTGGAATCTTTGAAATCCCACATGCGGGTGCATACGGGTGAGCGACCTTTTACCTGCACTGTGTGTGGGAAGTCATTTGCATATCGTCACAACCACGACGATCACTACAGGACTCACACAGGTGACAAACCATATAAATGTGATCGTTGTGATTCAGCATTTACTTGGAAGAGTGCTTTACATAGGCACCATAAGACGCACAATCTGGAGACCTTGGAAGTGTGTTCCATATGCAAGGCTAAGTTCAAAAACGGAGGACAGCTTGTTAGACACATGAACAGGTTTCACAGCAGTCTAATATAAGAAAGATATGACTGGTTATTCGTTAAAGCAATCAAGTAGGTACTACTAAAGCTAAACTTGGGAATGATAGTTGGATAATATATTATTCATATATTGCAACCAGTACAATGTTTTTGATAGAACTCATTACTTTAACAACCTTTCTATTTTTTTACGGACCAACACGTGAAAACTTTTTATTTTTTGAATTTCGAAAATTCTGTTGTTGTAAAAAGACGTTGTTATGCATAAATGCAATAATCTTGGTACTATGATACATTTGCATGTGTAATGCATTATGACTACCCGATAACTCCAAAACATTTCATTCAATAAGTGAGACGTTTATATATACAACTTGTGAGTTTTTAGTCATAGTATTAATTACTTTTAGTTTAGTTTCACCTTCGATAGTAGTAAAGTTACCATGTGCTTTTCCCCCTAAAATATGTTACGTACACAAAATCTATAGTATTGCCTATAAAGTTGAGCGTATGTCATGGCACAGCATCCACCGTTTGTTTGTTTATCGTTCGTAGTCAAATGTCTAATTTCAACGACTTGCTATCAAGTTTATTCAAATAAGTTACATTGACCGACAGTCAAGGTCACAGCTGTCAAATGTGTCGAGAACTTCAAAAGTCACGTACCGAATGTGTGGAAAAATCTTCAAACCACATGTAAAGAAGGAAAATGCATATAGAGTAATGTTATTTTACCCTTAACAAGCAGTGATGGAGCACCATATTTAAGGTACTGGCATATTATACGAAGCAAGAGTTATGCTATTTGACTGGACGCCTGACTGGTGATAATGGATATCAAAAGTGTTTGTCTAAACTGAATACGACTCTTCAAGACCCACAAGGTTTTATAGTTGATTAGCCAACTAGCTTACTAGGTCAATAGGCTATCACGTTTGATCAAATGCATTCTATACGACCTTGCAGTTACTACTATTTAAGGTTACAGGGGTCAGATCCGTTAAACAAAATCATTTAGCTTGCACAACGATGAGAAACAGCACTATTTGGTTTTTTTTAGTAAATGACATTGACCCATATCCAAAATCACTGGGGCCGTAATATTAGTCACAGGGACTGGAGTTCTAGTATTTGGCCAATAGCTTGCAGAAATTAACACATTCAAAATATATAAGCATTGCTCACAATTAAGGTCATAGGGTTCAAATGTATTGATATTTGGTACAGCTTTTTAATGTCATTTCCCTGACAAATGTTTTTGTTATTGTTTGGCTTAATGAAGGACCTAAGTTGGCGACCATTGTCTCAAAATAGTAAATACAATACTATTCAGATAGAAAAAGGTGAGCGATTAGGGCTCCATAGACTTTGTTTATTTTCTTACCACCATTTTCTCATATAATACAGTAATTATAATGAGTAAAACCCTTTAAATGTGATCTTTTGTTGACATTACATTGCTAGTTAGCATTTCAAATTTCACATGAAGGTTCCCCATGGTCCCTAGTTATGTACAGAAGCTGTATATCGTTTTTGGTGACTAATCACCAAACCAATATGGCCGACAGTCAGCCATCTTGAATTTGAGAGTTCAAGTTTGTTAGCGCTATTTCTCAGAAAGAACAGGAAGGATCCTTCTCAATTTTCATATGAAGGTTTCCCATGGTTCTAATTTAAATTCGAATATAAAAGTTATTGAAGTATGTAAGTGCTTTTTTTCAGTAAAGTCCTGGAGATGTCTTCCTCAGATTTAATATGAACGTTCACGAAAGTCCCTAGTTACGCATATCAAATTTTGGGACTAAAGAGAAAACAAGATGAGCGAAAGTAAGCCATTTTGAATTTGAGAATGAAAGTTTGTTAGCGTTATTTATCGGAATGTACAGCAGGGGTCTTTCTCAAATTTCACATGAAGGTTCCCCATGGTTCCTAGTTGCACACCCGAATTCTGAGGATGATTGAAAAACCAAGATGGCCGACAGGTGGTCTTATTGAATATTGTTCAAAAAGTATTTAAGGAATCTTTCTAAAATTTCACAAAAAGTGCCTCTTGGTTCTAAGTTATGTATATCAAGTTGTTGGACCGATCTGAAAACCAAGATGCGGACAGGCGGCCATCTTGTTACAGTTTATGTTTGTTATCGCTATTTCTCAGAATGTACTTGAGGAATCTTTCTCAAATTTGATATGTAGGTTCCTCTTGGTCCTTAGTTGTGCATGTTAGCTTTTGGGATTGATAAAAATTCTGATGAAGGTGACTGACATGCAAACTGGTCAAAAACATAAGAGAAAAGAAGAGAAAATATCTAACTGTCATAGAACTAATGAAGATGGTATAATGGTTGGCGCCAATATCCCTCTGGGATCTTTTGTTTACTATTACATTGTTGTGACTAAAGACATATTAGAGAAACTTAAGTTTGTTAAACATTTTACATGAGTTAGTGCTTATTGTCTAATAGCGTTAATGTTGTTTAACTATTTTGTTCTAGATCCTCTTTTTTTTAACATCGGTACCCATTCAATTAACATTCCAATCTTTACATTTGAACTGTAATGTGCAATTGTGCATTGTTTTTTTAAAAATAATTATTCATGTATTTCTTGGATAACAGTTTGTTGTCCTTACTTACTGACTGTACATATCAACGTGTCAAATTTGTTTTCATTTGCATCTCTTCTCCTCAAGATGTCTGTTTAAATGCATTCTTATTAATGTTAATGTTTATTGTCGTTGCTTTTGGTAGTAATTAAGTTGAACATTCCTTTGCTATTGTTACTGGTAATTTGGTCAAGCATTCCTTGTTGTGGTGGCTTATACTTGTAATTTAGCAGATCATTCCTATTACACCTCAACATCTGTAACGATAAACGTTTTTGAAATATTCTCTGTTGTTAGAATAATTTGTATTGTCATAATGATTGAATTTGCCATACTACGCTTTAAAATAATTAAACCATTGTTTAAAACATAATTAGTGTTGGTTTTTTAAAATAACTGTCAGGAAAGAAGTGTTTTTAAGTTCACCCGACCAAAATCAAGTTATCTTCTGCAATGTAGGACCTGGCGCTGGCATAGGGTTCATGTATCGTTTGCAACCAAGATACATTACTCCGCTTGTTCAAGTCTACTCGGCTGTAAATGAGTACGTGGTTGAACAGTTGAACGCTAATTGTGTGAGCGTAAATCGCTTTGAGACGACCTACGAACTAGGTTGTGATAAAGATGTATATAAGAACCTAAAATCATTATAACAGATTGACCTCTCGATATTCCGCGAGTTTGTGAAACTCTTCCGTTCGTACTCCAAGGTTATAAAATTTTTACTCCTTCGCAGCTGTGTAGTTAAAACTTGTTCATTTGAAATCAATACTTAATTAAGTAAATATCCCGGAGGCTATACAGGCACATCGACTGATTGTTATGCATACATACATTTCTTTTCTCACATGTTATATAAGTTAAGCCATTGGTTACTTCCACGTACACTATTGTTTTTGTCGTCGATCCTGGGTCCAGATGTATTCTTGAATTATAATTATATTATAATTATTATTGGAAATTCAATGCTCATGTGTGTCGATACTATGTAAACTGTATATTGGTTTATTTTTAAGTGGTATAAAGCCTGACCAGGTGGTTCTGTTGGTTAGAACGAAATTGTTATGATAGAAAATGTAGGCGAAGATCCAGCTTTTGCCCCGTTGCTTTGTTTTTACACTGAAACACTGTTATTGATTTTCAATGTTTCTTTCTTTTTTATTTTGGTTTCATAAAGGCTCTGCAGGATCTGTTTTAATGAGCCTTTCAGCTATAACAGAAAAACAGCTTTCAATGCATAGTTATAAGTGTTGGCAATGATATGGCGATCCGTTCCCAATCGTTAACGCTAATGCTTTATCTAAAATAATTTTCTAAAATAAAAACAAAAAAGTGATGCTCAAAGATGAAACAAAAAGATTCGCATCTCAAATTATCCTCTGAAACAGATTTTTTTGGGGGAAAATTACCAAATATATATATAAAAAAAAAGCCAACCGCAGTCAGAAAATTAGTTATGCTAATGTGGAATTATTAACATACAAATGTAACCTTAACGTTATCAAGCAGATGACAGCATAATAAGAAAAAACATACATATCAAATAATAGGGTTTAAATCAATGATTTTTACTTGGAATTCAGTAGCATTTGATATTTAGAAATTGGAGAGAACAGAAAATACATAAAATCAACAAAACCATAATTCGAACTCAAAATTGATCAATCTTGGTCGAAATATGAACAAATAATATATTAACTTGGATACCATTAATTAAAAACAGGAGAACATGACCAAGTGTTCCAGAAGGGTAAGCGTCTTCCGCTCCATCGATGACAACTACCATTAACCCTAGGTCAAATTCAAGTAATGTAAAGTGTTCATATCGAGAGCTCGGGTAGTGACAACAAAAGTCCAATGCATTTTTGATAAGAATAAAAAAAAACATCGACTATCATATCACACAAAGAAATGGCATTTTTCCCTGCGATCGAGATCCTGATAGCATTCAATTTGTCCATAGTTTTCATCAACCTGCATCTTGGAAACCCTGTGTTTTAAGGTTGGCCACCAGCAGGAAATTATGATATCTGAATTAAGCTCTTGAGTACCGAATCAACAGAGAAATGTACACATCGTAGGTAGGGGAAGCATGTTTTCTCTGTCAAGAAAATGAAAGATCAATATCTTCACTCTTATCGTACAGTTAAGTAGTAAGCCCTCCTAATTGGTCATTTTGTAAGAAAAGATCGAAGATCGAGGAAAGCGGCTAACGCAAAGGAGTCTGCGGTGTCATTGATGTGAAGCTCTGGGAGGTATATACATGTCCAATCGATGTGGTCAATGAGTTTCTTGTTACATAATTTATTCCAAGATAGCACATCGTCGATACATCTGAATGTGAAATTGAAGGACTTGGCTAGTTTTTTTACCAGTCCTTTTAAGCTCAACAGCTTCGTATGAGAACAAAAGAAAATGGCCAGAACAAATGTTCCCTTTTAAATCTTGTCATCGATCTCAACAAAGATATTGTCAACCGGGAACTCAATTATTGTATTATGGTCTTTGTGCTTTTCTCAAAATGTGCTCCAAAACAATTTACAGCAATATATTTATATCGTCATTCGCTTTCCTCTGAAAGGAAAGTTCTCATATAATAGAACGAGTTTATTCCCTTAGTTTGGTAAGGGAAATGGTAGTGTAAAGGGTAAAACCGTCAAAGGTTTTGATGGTAGAAACCTTTTGGAGAATAGAAGGTTCAAGATTGCTCAAATTCATACACTATTTCACTAAACGACTGCAACCTTGGTTTAGTGGAACTGAGAATGGTAGTGAAAAATTGGATAAAAACATGGTTCCGTAACTAGACAAGACAGCGATAAAGCGTTGTTTATAAAGATTCGTGTGAAGGAACATTATCTAATTCAAATAAACACATGTCCGTATCCTTATGTTTAGTGCGTATTCGGAAAGATTACAATTCAGACGCATAATTTGCTAGTACATATGGATTTCGTCTTTCAAAATTGAGAAATGTATAGGCAGGATTTCCTTGGTTATGTAACAAGCGTGGTTATTTCTTCAAGCAGGAAATGTTTTAGAGTTTGCAGAGTTATAAGATGCTATGTCTGCAGACACACTACTTACCTATAATGCGGATCATTCAGTGCGGTTTGAACATCACTTTCTTTCAATTTAGATTTTAAGCAACTTATTCGTTTTTGAATGACCGATCTGATAGACTTGATCCACTCTGAACGTGAATCCAATTAAACATGCTCTCGTTTTGCCCAATGTCTGGCGTAGTCCTCCGCATAATCCATAAGTATCTTGAAATTGACATTGCAATTAAAAGTCTCGTTTCCTTTCATATCTTATCTTTTGTTCGATGAACATTCTTATCATTTATCTTTCTCTAATACACATTGAGACATAAAGGCAGAGTAAGAGAGAGGGCGTTAAACTTATTAGTCAACAACAATGATGTTGGATTTTTTTCGAAGAAAATGATATTTGATAAACAAGAAAATATTGATATGGTTTTGTGTTTAGGAAGGGATATATCATAGCGTCAATACGCGAGGAATTGTAAGTGATTATAAACCACAACAGGTGCTGAGTGGATACCAAACAATAGGTTAGACAATATAAAAACACACAAAACCAAGACAAGACGATATAGACAAAAACCGACGAAATAGAAAAATAAAACAGGAAATGCAAGCTTAAACCAAAAAGAAGAGAAGGCTGCTCCCAATGTGGCAACCGGTTACTCAAACATTTTGAGAAATTGTATTTTTTTAATCAGCATAAATTTGTAACAATGTGTACTGACAAAAGAATCAGTGATCGAAATTTAAGGTCTGCCTTGATTTTTAAGAAGACGTTCTCCATATCAATTAGTTATATATCCATACAACATTGCTAGAGACGTCTGATCAAACAGGAAGGTTGCCGGCTGGACGCTTGTATTCCCAGCATACAGCAAAGTTTATACATAAGTGCGTATTTCATCTTACGTATTCTTCGGTCTTCATTATAATGCTTCATTTGTAATTTTTAATATATATTGGGATTGCGAAGCGTCGCATACCTAACGTAGACAAAAATGTGCCTTATATTTTGACCTTCTACTTAAATTATTGAAATAACTTGTCTTGGGTACAATGTCATTGTTCCGACTAATGGAAAACATACCACTTCAAAAAAGAATGTTTTCTGTTTACAGGAAAACCATACAACCCTAAGAAACTTATTTGCCTACTTGAACTTAAATCATGTATTGAATTTTTTTGGCCATTGGAAGAAAGATTATTAATTGGTAGTAGAAATATCAATATGTCTATTTGCTCATTAAAATATTAAAAACGAACGGATATAATAATAGTTCCATATTCCGTTCGAACAGAAGAACTGGTCTGATTATAGTTAGCAAAGTTGAGAATGTTTGGATGTCATTGAATTGATTTTAATTACGAACCGAACTGAGGTAAAAAGAAAAAACAGGACATAAGTATATCTTTGCCTATGTCCAACACAGCTACTCTGTGAGGATTGGTACTTCTTACGGAATCCAGGATGAAGACGTTTCAAGTGAGTTGTTATGCATCATAAAAACCTTTATCTCCATGGATGCTAAAATGTTAGTTACTAGGAATAAGCGATGACATAGGATGAAGCGTTGTTGTGTGCGTAAAAAGGAATCAGTTAGTCTTTTAAAAGATGTTCTATTAGAAAATAATTTAAATAAACAAACGCCAATTAAAATGAACATTGAGGCCACTATGTATTAATGTTCACCTTTGGGAAATCGAATTAAATTACATGAATGCAAAACATAATTAATAACGCAATACATTTAAACAAAAATAGCTGTCTTCATTATCTAAATATTTTAATACTTTAAAACAAATTATTACTGTTGTTCTTTGCTCAATACAAGTTCAAGGAGTAAAAACTGATTATATGGAATTTTATGTAAATTCTACAAAATATGCAATTATTACTGTTGTCCTTTATTACATTACTCAATTATTGATACTTAACTCGAAAATAGTAAATACATATTGGTGTTTCCTTCTATAAAAGTAAATATTTACTATTGTTTCCATGATTTTATTTATTTCACTCTATAAAAGTAAATGCAGGCGCTTCTTTATGCAACTGTAAATGATTACTCTTTAAGACGCTTTCTAAGGCGACTGTTAATAATTATTGTTATTTTTCAATTTATCGTAGTAAATACTTTCAGGCACTTCCTCATGCGACTTTAAATGGTTTGTGGGGATTTTTCACGCAATAAAAGTGAATACTTTCAGCCGTTTCCTTTTGCCACTGTTAATAAAACGTATTGTTCCACGCTTTCATAGTAAATACACTCAGGCGCTCTCTCATATGCGACTTTAACGGTTAGGTTTTTATCA